CTGAATAAGCAGTCTAACGAATTGGCAAGTTTATGAAGCACCTTTCATCTAAGTACTATGTGCTCAGAAATTGGCAATCAAATGTAGCACTAAACATATACAGGACACCAACGATTACTAGTTAAAAAAAGCACACGGGTGATAGCTGACATTGTTAACAGTGTGACCAGTTTACAATTTAATCTTCATTGGCAGCAAAGGGAGCATGAAACTGACCAATCCAGGCTACTAATCTAACATGTAGTTCGCCAAGTATGGTAGCATTTCAGATAATCTACACTCAGCAATTTAATTTAATCATCGGTGCGGCTATGCACAGGGTTTCGACACAAGCAACACAGATCTGGAACGAGTTATTACCCTCAGGCGCTCGGACAGGACGGAGGGAGTGATCTGCTTGTACTTGGGCACCTCAGAGATCAGCTTGTCGTAAGTGGCCTGGTCGAACAGAACCGCGTTGTTCACCTTCTCCTTTTGCTTTCCCTTGCTCCACTTCTGCAAAACCAACATGAACTTCTAACCGTGAGAACCAGAAAAACCGTGCTTCCACCAAATCGAAGGGACGGGGGATTCGGACAGAAGGGTCACCTTCTTCTTCTGCTTGCCACCGCCGGACTTGGCCGGCTTCGACGACGGCGGCGGGGCCTTGTCCTTCTTCGGAGCCTGCACGGAGATGCACGAGGTTAGCTGGACGTCAAGCAGTTGCGTCCAATGGACGGTGGGAGAGCGAGTGAGCGCACCATCTTGGCTGGGGCGGCGACGGCGGCGCGAAAGAAGGGAGCGAAGGGGGGGAGTCTGCGGCGCCGGCGCTAGCTAGGGTTTTGAGGAGTGAGGTGCGACGGTTTTATATAGCGAGCGCGGTGCAGGTTCGACCGTCCGATCAGCGTCAGAAGGAGAAAAAATGGATGCACCAAAAATGAGGCCCACGCAACGGCCCAATAGAAGACCCGCCTATTGGCTCTCCAGGCAGGAGTTTTTTTTTTTATATATCCTTAGCATGGCTCTACGGCCTTGCATTAATAGACTCATGCTAGGTCAAATCGCGAGCAACCAAGTTTTTTTTGGCAAGAGTGCATTTTATCTTGTTTCGCCGTAGTTGGATGCGTAGCAAATCTACGTGTGTCAGGGTGGATTAAAGTAAAATTTAACCTAAATTTTATCCTAATCCATCAACACATATGGATTGAGATAAATCTGGCAATATCTAAACGAGACCTAAAGTGAGAAACCTTAGGACATTCGCAACAGTTATCGTCGACGTCCCTGGCTGACCGCATTTCACAGGCTAAATTAATGTAACCACTGTTTCCATCGCTCCTCTCCATATTGGCTATCAGAGCAGGAACCTCTGACCACTCACACGCTCGCGTTCAAGGCTCCGAGCTAGCGACAAGTGACTCGCTAGTGAATAGTTTGTTAATCAGTTTATTCTCTCCACGTCACTCCAAGTCCAAGTTAGCGAGTAGACAGTTGTTGGAGAGGCCGTTATTATCCCTTGAACTCTCAAAATTATTAAAATTACCTCCCTATCCAGGATTAAAGTGGTTTTAAAGACGGTTTCATCCTTTTCATTTATAAAAATTCTTAAATGCTTGGTAATATTTTTTAAACCCAAAAAACAGACTCTAAGCTTCTAAAAAAATGAAAAAAATATATCTTAAATATAGATTGGGACATGGAAAAAACAAATGAAATATTTAAAACTCGTGAAAATATCTCTAGAAGTTTCAAAAAATAGACTTAGCTCTAGGAAATGGGAAATACCCAAGAAAATATGAGAAACTCTGAAAACATTATAATATGTGGTTAGAGTTGTTTTAAAAACTCCACAGCAAAAATATGAGATGCAACCCAGCATGAATACACACATACATTAATGTTGATGTCTTCATATTGGTTGTTGTATCTTATGTTTTTGTCGCGAAAACTTTTATAAAGTGCGATTTGACATCGATCAGAATGCTTTGGGAATTTTCTAGATTTTCCATATTTTTTCATTTTCATATGGCGGTCAATTTTTGAAGAAATATTTTCACGTGTGATTTAATAAACATATCAAGTATTTACCATTTTTAACTAAATAAGAACGAAATTGCCTTCAAAAACCACTTCAAACCATGATAAAAAAGATATTTTGAATGGTTTTGAGAGTTCAAGGGTTAAAATGTTTGGTTTTAGAGTTCGATGATGAAAATCAATTTACAACAATAGCTCAGGGAGTTATAAAAAATTCTTAGTATTTTCAAACCGAACTTATTGACAATCCAGTCACAAGTCCATCCATCCATCCAAGATCATTGGATCGATCCGCTGAGGGTGGGGAATTTAGGTTGATCTAGTGTTAGTGGACGAAAGTCAGGCGGGAGTAAATAGTAAATTAGAGTTATGGCGGCAGACCCTTGAGTCTAAAGGTTTTAGATTGGGCAGAACTAAAACCGAATACATGAGATGTGACTTTGGCAGAGTTGTACAGGAGGAGGGAGATGTGAGTTTAGATGGTCAAATAGTGCCTAAGAAGGATACCTTTCGGTATCTGGGATCGATGCTACAGAGGAATGGAGATATTGATGCAGACGTTAGCCATAGAATCAAAACATGGTGGATCAAGTGACGACAAGTTTCTGACATTCTCTGTGACAAGAGGGTACCACAAAAGCTAAAAGACAAGTTCTATAGAACGGCGATTAGACCGACTATGTTGTATGGAGCAGAATGTTGGCCTACAAAGATTCGATATGTTCAACAAATGAGTGTTGCAGAAATACGTATATTGCAATAAATTTGCGGTCACATAAGAATGGACCGAGTTCGGAACGAAGATATACGTGATCGTCTAGAGGTAGCACCAATTGAAGAAAAACTTGTCCAACATTGGTTTAGGTGGTTTGGCCATGTCCAAAGGAGACCTCCAGAGACACCAGTGCATTGTAGAGTCCTAAGCCAAGCTAATAATATGAGAAGAGGTAGAGGAAAACCGAATTTGATATGGGGAGAGACAATAAAAAAAGATTTAAAAGCTTGGGATATACCTGTCTATGTTTGAATAGGAGTATTTGAAAAGCAACTATTAAAGTGTCTAAACCGTGATTTGTGGCTTTTGGTAAATTTCAACTCTAGGCCACCCTAACTTGTTTGGGATTGAAAGGCTATGTTGTTGTCATTGATCAGTGCAAGCCACCAATTTTTTCTAGGTCTGTCCGCAGATCGAGAATAAGCCGAGATGGCTGGCCGCTTTCGGCCCTGAAAACTCCCATCCCAAATGTCTAGGAGCCAAAACTCGCATCCCAAATGTAGGAGCCGACAAGTGGAAAACAGGATCTCTAAGCAGCGTTGTCGCCGGTAGCTGACCGCTTTATTATGTGTTGCTTGTGCCTTCTTCGTTAGATTAGAGGGGAAACAAAATCGTGAATCATATGGAACCTTAGTTCCTGTGATATGTATGTAAACTTGGTTGTATCATGATGCAATTTTTCAGTTTCCACCGAGACGTAGTAGCATCATTTGAAGCAACCTCGGGGAAAAGTAGGCACGCCAAGGAAACACATCAGCGGTTCATGTACCTCAAGTCCGCAACGATGAATTTAATCACCAACATTCTACCAGAAACTTAGTCCTTGTTTCAGAAGTTTCTCCGAGTCAGGAACCAGAAAACGGCAGGTAACACCACAAAGACCGATCTACCACGAGATAGCAAACACAAAAGAGGCACAAAGATGGAAGGTTCAACAGCAGCAGTCTCAAAATATGAATGTCGCCTTCAACATGCAAGCAACCGAAAACACAGCATATATCCAGTGCCATTAACGTTTTACAGAATTTATTCTTCCATTGCTGGACATGTACAGACAAAGCTATCCATCGGATGCATGCCGACCGGATTGCCTTCCAACAGCGCCATTTCAATCCTAGGCAGATCCCTCGGCCTTCTGCATTAGATAATATTCAGGCACGTAATAAGTACACATCGCAAAGACGCAAACAAACTGATGCTACAGAGAATTAAGTGCCATAAGGATTCAAGTCTTGAGCTGTGTAAGTTGGACATCATACTGTGACAATCCCATGCAATGCTAAGATACAATCGAAATTGTAACACGACAAGCATAATAAAGCATATGTCAAACATATTCCCAATCTTGTGAGGTGGTAACTGCAGTGAATTGTATCCAAATGAGTTGAAAAGGGACGGTACATGTACATGTATTTTTCCTAAATGTGTGGAGAAAAGGAACTCAACAGTATCGAAAAGGTTATTTGGACCATATAACATGGACACCAGACCATAATTTATGACTTAGTTTCATTGACTAAGGACGCGGAACAATTTGTTTCTGACGGTGAACAGATTGATGCTATTTTGTGAACATACACCTGATCCAACCCTCTCGATGCCGTTTTGTGAACCAAAACAAATGAAAAAAGAGTTCAGCATGGTGGTTTATAATCTTGTAATAATCCTAGAAAAGTTTACTTATGTACTTTGCTATGGATCTTTGACTGCTGAAAAAATTACACACATGTTTTGCTTAGGGCTTGTTTGGATGCACCCCGATCCACCCCAATCCACATGGGTTGAGAGGAATTGGGATGGAAAATTAATGGATTTGAGATTTGGAGTGCATCCAAACAAGGCCTTATTGGATTTATAGGCCATGGGGTAAGCAGAGGAATGATAACTTGAGTATTATGAAATATAGAAATTATTAGACCTTATGGAATAGGGTACTGTCGAAGGGCAGGCCTGGTGCAGTGGTGAGAGCTGTCTCACTCGGGTCGTGGGTTCGAACCAGCCTCTCCGCAGATTTTTGGGGGGAAAAGGCTTGTCTCGGTTTATCCCTTCCCCAGACCCCACTCACGTGGAAGCCTCCGGCACTGGGTCTGCCTTTGATGGAATAGGGTACTGTATATGTTTGTGTTGGAAATTTATGCATAGTTAACTCCAAGGACCATTCCTGTCAACATAGAAGCTCCTTGGCTCAATTAGGGCCCACAGCATTATGCTACTCACACACGGTTATAGAATTGGACCCAAATGCCCCCAATCTAAACGCCCCCTGCTGTAAAAAAAAAAGTTCAGTCAAAGTAGACCATAGCAGTATTCATGATCTGAACATTCCAGGTTCTTGAGAACTAAACCCTGCAAAAATGTACTTGAGTGTTCACAAATATCCCCATCCATTTTGCTCAGCAGACACTAGACAGAGGACCCCATCCCAACCCCATTGTATCTGAACCAGTTCGGCATCTACAGTTCGTTTGGGAGTCTGGGACTTGCCCTACAAATATGCAGTGACTTGAAAGTTGGGAGTGTAGAGTGCAGCTGTGCAAACAGCAATGCGATTTTCACATGCAGATCACATAGCTCTGTGCCGCTCGATGTCAACAGATGACGATGCTACTGTACCTTGTCGGCGTCGGCGGGCTTGGCCTTGTCGGCGCTGGACTTCTCCTGCTCGAGCCGCTTCTTGAGCTTCTCCAGCCGCTCCTTCTCCATCTTCTGCTCCCCGCCCCGCGGTGGATCGAACCGAAACACCGTCACTCCGTCAGTCCCAACAACGTAGCCGTAACGACTGGATCGGGGAAATGGTCAACGGGAGGGGTTCAGGGTTCAGGGTTTGGACCTGGACGTAGACGCTCTCCTTGGCGCGCTCCTCCTCGCTGAGCATGCGGCCCTTCCCGTCGCTGAGGAGGCGCAGGCCGCCGGTCGCCGCCGCCGAGGAGGGGGCCGCGGGGGCGCGCAGGCGCGCGGGGAGGGAGGTCAGCGCGATCCGCATCGCCATCTCGTGCTCTCGTCTCGTCGCGATCGAATCTGCTTGGGCCTGAGGCGGGGGTTGGGCACTTGGGCTGCTTGTCTGGTTGCTGCCTCGCTCGCTGGTTGGGTTGAGAAATGAGATGGACTCGCCCTGGGTGGGCAGCATTAGGGTGCACGAGAAAGGGGAGGAAGCCTTCAGAAAGTTCAGCTGGGGGTTTCCTTTTCTTTTCATTCTTGATTTGAAACAAATTCTGGATAAAGTTTTTATGGAGGCTTCCTTTCGCTTTTTCACTCTGCCCTCTATCTAGATAAAGTTTTTCCTGGAGACTTCTTTCGTTTTTTTCGCTCTGCACTTTCTTTTAATCCTGTTTTGTAGGAGTAAAAAAAAAGATGTTCATGATTACAAATTCTCTATGTTATGGTGCAACACTTATAGAACATTGCAATTCCTACGTGTTACCCCAATCATGGATATTTGTCATTGTTGAATTTTAATGACCTTTGAGTTTTAGATTGCCAAACTAATAAGCATGATGCTTTGAAAGTAGCTTTAAAAGCAAACTACGTATATGATTTGTAAGTTTCCAATCTAACTATTTTCAACAACCGTATAGCCCCCTCTCGGGTTTTGATGGTTGAATAACAAAAATCCATTTTATAGGGACAAAAAACACCTAGATGTTGTCGCTTAGAGATTACTTATGGACTTATGGACTTCGTGAAGCATTCTTTACTTTTGAAGGTGAAGTCTCCTAGACGTTGCCCAACGAGCTCTCAATAGGTGCCACACCGTGGGAAATTTGTGAAGATTTTGATTTTGCCTCTACAAAGGAAGAAATCATGGTAATAAAAGGCAAAGGTCCCTCTGTTGGTGTCCTTTCGTGAGGTTAAGTGCTTGAAAGAGACTCAACTCCCTTGGAAACTCGTCAACAGAGATGTAGGATTCACGAAGGTGAACCCAAACTTGGGTAAATAATAAATAGTGTGCCTTCTTTGCTTGTTATTGTGTTCTTTTTTGTGCAAGTTGATTTTTGGGGGATTTCGTCTGATCTACTTGTTCTTATGTTTATGTTTGTGATTGTTGGTTCTGGGAGGAATCAACTCACTACATTTCCATCAACCCATAGTAATATAGAATCGATTAAATTGGTGTAATCCCTCTTGAGTTGTGTTCTTCTCCTTACTCATTACCTAGTAAGAGATCTCCGGTCCATACTAGAACTTTGATGTAGACCAAACCTTCAGTCATTTTAGGAACATCAATTCACCTCTCTCAGGTGACATCTCAATCCTTTCACATGATCTCCCTAAAGGTTAATCAAAGTCTTATTCGACTCCTCCAACCGAAAACAATTTTTTTTGGCTTCATTTGAAATTATCTGATCTTGGTCCCTAGTGGTTCTGACAATGGTTTTGGTCAACGCGGCACCATCAGATGTGTTGACAAGGTGCCACGCCAAACGTAAGGGAGGTAAACCAATCTATATTGTTAATCAAAGGAGTTAGATATACTTTATAAAGAATATCATAAAATAGTACAAATATTATCCAAATATTTTTCCCCATAAAATGTAACACCTTCGGTGTTACGCTCTAAACAAACTACTAAATCATGTCATGAGCATCATGTTTATTTAATACTGCATGTGATATAAGGTGTTGATAAATTTCTTGTAGCCTAAAATAACCAATAAAAATGTTAAATGAATGTTGATTCAATAGCTCATGTATATCAAGTAGGGTTGAAAATCAATTTTTATTAAGCAAAAATACTATAGAACATGTGTGTGATACTTAAATAAAGTTTAAAGTACAAACTTTGTAGATGACAATGCAACTCTTGCTATAGAAAAATGATATGACTAGTTAGTATTTATAATGGCTTAGAAATGGAACTTGAAGTCAAATTCAGCTCAAGACTTGGAAGAAATTTTAAGTTTAAAAACAGTGTGACAATGCCATGTTGGCGAATTAATTCTGAAAAATCTAGCTAAAGGTCAATGCCGTGTTTTTGCTCCTTATGGTAGACTGATGTGCCCTCATTAGCATGGTCGAGGTAGATTAGCTTCAACTGTGTTAAGATAGTTTTTAGATGTGCTTTAAAATTCATGCACGTCATATGCTTGGCTCGGGCGCACGGTCACCTCACGCGGCCGCTCGGCGTCGCACGGCTGGCCGCGTTCCGTGCGCCGCTGTGCTGACCCCGGTCGGCCTGTCTAGCTGTGGGTTGGCCATGACCGGCTCCAGCGGGCCGCTGTCGTCGCCCTACAGCTGCTGGCCGTCGCGCTACTGCCCCGCTGCCGCCCTTCTCGCCCCACGCTGCAGTGCGGCTGCTGCCCTTCTCGCCATCGCACGCATGGGCTTGTCCCTGCTGTTGGCGCCGTTGTGTCGCCGTCGCATCTGCGCTCTCTGCAATCCTACGTCGCTGCCTGGTCCTGTCCGATGGCATTGTCTTTGCCGCATGTGCGCTGCCGGCCAGGCCATGCGCGGGGCCAAGCCGATGTCGCGGCGGCCTTCGTCTTGCCGATGTGGCACTCTTTCCATCGCTCGAATCACCTACTCGCCGAGCCGTTGCCTGCCTCCGTAGTCACGTCGCACTAATGCCCGTGTCACGGTGTCATTGCCCTCCCTCGCATCGTTTTGTTGCACCTGCCCTGCGAGACGGCCCTGCGCGTGATCGCTGCTTCACGACGCTCTCTCTCTGAGTCTTCCCCATACGGACGCCTCGCTTCATTAACACAGCCTTGACTGAAGCAGGCATAGCCTTGAAGAGCTGCTGCCCCTGCCTACCCTTGTGAAAGGTCCTAATATGGCTAGAGGGGGGGGTGAATAGCCTATTTAAAATTCTACAAATCAACTAGATCAATTTGATTAGTAAGACAAATAGTGAAATGCAAACTTGCTTTAGCTCTACGAGGGTTGCAAGCCACATATCCAACAATTCTAGTTGCAATGATTACTAGACACACAACTTGCTATGATACTACTCACTAAGAGCTCTCAAACTTTCTTCACTAAAGAGCTCCACTAGATGAACTTAAATAACAAATCAAGCTCTCAATTCTAATTACACTAAAGAGCTTGCCACAACTAGTTTACAAGAATATAAAAGAGTGAGTAGGATGATTATACCGCCGTGTAGAGGGATGAACCAATCACAAGATGGAGATGAAATCAATCACCGAGAGAATGCCAAATAGCAAGAGACAACCGATTTTCTCCCGAGGTTCACGTGCTTGCCAACACGCTACGTCCTCGTTGTGTCGACCAACACTTGGTGGTTCGGCGGCTAAGAGGTGTTGCACAAACCTCGTCCACACGATTGGACACCGCAAGAACCTACCCGCAAGTGAGGTAACTCAATGACACGAGCAATCCACTAGAGTTACCTTTCGGCGCTCCACCGGGGAAGGTACAAATCCCCTCACAATCACCGGAGATGGCCACGAACAATCACCAACTCGTGCCAATCCTCCACTGCTGCACCAAGCCGTCTAGGTGGTGGCAACCACCAAGAGCAACAAGCGAATCCCACAGCGAAACACGAATACCAAGTGCCTCTAGATGCAATCACTCAAGCAATGCACTTGGATTCTCTCCCAATCTCACAATGATGATGAATCAATGATGGAAATGAGTGGGAGCACTTTGGCTGAGCTCACAAGGTTGCTATGTCAATGCAAATGGCTAAGAGAATGAGCTTGAGCCGGCCATGGGGCTTAAATAGAAGCCCCCATGAAATAGAGCCGTTGGGCTCTTCACTGCACAGAACACGGGCCGACTGGACACACCGGTCAGATTGACCGGATGCTCAACCCTAGCGTCCGGTCCTTAGATCTTTGCCACGTGTCCCCTGCTTCAAACCCTGTTCGCCCAATCTCAACGATCAGAAGACGACCGGACGCAGCAGCGAACAGTGACCGGACGCTGAACCCCCAGCGTCCGGTCATTTCCAGTAAGCTTCCAGAGACGGTTTTTCCCGACCGGACGTGTCCGGTCATGCTTGATTGGACACAGCCAGCGTCCGGTCACATGGTGTCTTCCTCTGTGCTGCCACGTCAACATAACCGGACATAGCTAGCCAGCGTCCGGTCGTTGAGCGACCCAGCGTCCGGTCGTTTGACCGACGCCAGCGTCTTCGCTGTTACTACTGACCGGACGCGCTGGTCCCTCTAAGACCAGCGTCCAGTCACCTTGTGACCAGCGAGACCAACTCCTTTTCACCTCTATCTTCTTCACCTTTGCTCAAATGTGCCAACCACCAAGTGTATCACCTTGTGCACAAGTGTTAGCATATTTTCACAAATATTTTAAAGGGTGTTAGCACTCCACTAGATCCTAAATGCATATGCAATGAGTTAGAGCATCTAGTGGCACTTTGATAACCGCATTTCAATACGAGTTTCACCCCTCTTAATAGTACGGCTATCTAACCTAAATGTGATCACACTCGCTAAGTGTCTTGATCACCAAAACAAAACGGTTCCTACTATTTATACCTTTGCCTTGAGCCTTTTGTTTTTCTCTTTCTTCTTTTCCAAGTTCAAGCATTTGATCATCACCATGCCATCACCATCGTCATGATCTTCACCATTGCTTCATTACTTGGAGTAGTGCTACCTATCTCATAATCACTTTGATAAACTAGGTTAGCACTTAGGGTTTCATCAATTAACCAAAACCAAACTAGAGCTTTCACCTTGTCACCGATAGAATCGCCTGCTTCGCACGACAAATACGTGCGGTTCGGGATACCACACCTCAATTTGTCGTTCCAGTAGTTAGATAGGAAAGCCAACTAGCAGCCCGACTGAAAGCTCTAGTTTGATTTTAGTGAATTGATAAAACCCTAAGTGCTAACCTAGTTTATCAAAGTGATTATGAGATAGATAGCACTACTCCAAGTGATGAAGCAATGGTGAAAATCATGATGATGGTGATGACATGGTGATGATCAAATGTTTGGACTTGGAAAAGAAGAAACAGAAAAACAAAAAGCTCAAGACAAAGGTGAAACTTGATAGGAGC